CCCCCGGCTCCGAAGCGAGGTCTGAACAGCTTGCCGCTCGGGCCTCGCTGTCTCGAAGCGGCGGCGGCGAGGAAGTTTGCAGAGCGTTCCCTGCGCATGCACAGGGGATGCTCTGTCACTTTTGGGGGATTTAAGTATCCCCCCGATATTTTTTCCGGGTTTTTAGATTTTTGTGCACACCTGGGGACTGCCCCAAGTGTGCACAAAAATCTCCCTCCCCTCCAAGTGCCCCCGATATGCGGAATTAGGTATCCGCACGAACGGGGGCGACTTAGCTATTAGTATATAGATCTTCTTCCTTCTGTGGCTACTAGTTAGAGAGAGCTCAGCCAGTCTACGTATTTGATAAAGTGTGTGTGCACACGAAAGCTCATACCTATTGGAAAAATTGGCAAAAATACTTAGATATTCAGAGTTTGCAATGGATCTTTGCTTCACTGGAGAGGAGGCATTTCTGTGTAAAAATCTTTATCTCTAAGGGAAAGGGTACACAGGAAGAGCTACAAAATAAAAGACCTAAGATTACGTCTCTACAGCTACAGAGCAGACCAACCGCATGGTCTCACAACAACAACAACTGCAATGGAGATTCTTCTTCTTTTCTCAGGCATTGTTTTCATTGGCTCTGAGCCAGGTTTCCCTTCCAGGTCAGTCTAAACAATAGCACACAAGGTAAATAGATTGACCCTATAATCACTGAATTGCAAGGCACATATTTCCAACAATACCTTGAATAAACCTTTGTTGGTCTTAAAGGGGCCATTGGACTTTAAGTTTGTTGTATAGTTTTCCTCTCTTGGTGCAGTTTCTGCCCCACCTTCTTCTGATCCCTCCCCCTCCAGCAAGTTAGGACAATGAGTTATTTACTCACCACCTCACTGGTTTGAGGGAGAGGTGAAAAGGTCAGTCACAAGGGAAGAGTCTGGTCAAAAGGACAATAGAAGACATCTAGCCATTGAGAATCAATGAGAGCCCTTCATGCTCCCCTCATGAAGATTAGGCATCCTTCTCGGGTGGGTTTAAGAGTTGTCTAGGACTACAGCACACCTGCCTTGTCTTGAAAAGCAATTCACTCATTCTGAAACAGAAAACATTTCATAGGCCCCGGGCAGACGGGCCAGATATCCCGTGGGGGGGCGTGGCTAATGGCCCTGGCGCAGTTTGATCCGCGATTACACGATCAGACGCGCCGGCGGCACAGCAGGGGTCCTTCCTTCAGTGCCAGCGGGTAAACGAGGGACCGGAGGGGAATGCCACGCGGAGGCGCGATCACACCACGGGCGTCTGGAGGCAGCCCATGGCAAACGTTTACTAGTACCTTGGAGGTACTAGTTTTTAAATGCACATTGTCAGCGGTAAGCCACGGGTGCGCTCCATTTCCCAGATGTTGGGGTGTGATCGGGCCTGGATAATCTGCCCACCGTGTGACTGGGGCCAAATGTTGTTAACCCTCCCTGTATTCTGCACTGCAAAGGCGAATCTTCTGTGTGCCGAGCGCCGGCGCGATCACGGGCATCTGGAAGCAGCCGGTGGCAAACGTTTACTAGTACCTTGGATTGGTTTTTGGAGGTACTAGTTTGTAAAGGCGCATTGTCGGCGGTAAGCCACGGGTGCGCTCCACTTCCCAGATGTTCTCCCAGATTAGAGTCCTCTGCGCACTTAACCACGACACCAGACTGAGGCACTCTGGGAACGTCCCTGACAATAGGGAGGAGTTGATACTTCGTCTCCCATGGGAACCTGCATTCCATCTCCTTAGCCCTTTAGCAAGCCAAGATGGACACAGCTCAAGGAAGCGGGCGGTGGGCCTCACAGCCTCCAGGGCCTTGTCAGTCTCTTCCTGGAAGAGACGACTGGATCAGTCCAACACCGGGCCAGGAGACAGCCAAGGGGCTTCCAGTTCACTTACTGTTTTAACCGTGGCAGGGAGGTCCTGGCGAAGCGACAAGACTTTGTGTGCAAAGTAGCTCACAAATGCCTCATCACCAATAGCCAATTCCTTTATCATTTTGCTCCCCCTTGTGGCAGGGAAGTCAGTGATCCAGATGTCCTGAATCATTGGGCTGGGTGACTGTCTCCCCATCCTGCACCCAGGTCTTGGTCACGCATGCCAGGTCTGTGTTTTGAGCTGCAAGAAAATCCTGCAGGGCCAAGGTCTTCATTACAGCAGCATCCCTCAGGATGAGGTGATGGTTGGAAAGGGACCACGTGTAACCGTATCTCCATCTCCTTCCTTTAAAATAGCCGTCATACCTCCCACCCACCCACCCCACCGTCACCGAAATCCTCAACATTCCTGTGGCCTCCTCTGCTAAATCCTCCCACCCCAGATCCAACCCTGTCTAGCATTTACCCCCGTCTGGCAATATAAAGAGAGCAGAAACCCTAACCCTAGGACAGCAGTTCAGTAATACTCAATAGACCTAACCAGGGAATCCAATTTAATTAAGAGCTAATTAAAATCCTAAGAATTCCCTCCCCAGCCAAACTTCCCTTCTTACTCCCACCCCTCCTCCAGTAAGAGAAAAACGAAACACACCAAAAATAATATTAGTGGGTAGGGGTAGTAATCCTAATTAGTCGGTGTCAGACACTGGAGTTGGCCACTGAATTCAGTTAACAAAAGGGGTTGGAACACACCACAGAAAGTGCATTGAAAACATACCTAGAAAAGGAGACACTTGCCATGGACGTAAATAAGAACACGAGAACGTTAGAGGAGCCATGCTGGATCAGACCAAAGGCCCTTCAAGTCCAGCACTCTGCTCTCACAGTGGCCTCCCAGCTGCCTCATTATATATGTGGTGTAAATAATAAATGACGTTGTTGCTGTTAGCCATTCCGCCATGTTCAACTCTTGGCGATTCTACGGGCCAGCTCTCTCCCTGTTGTCTGATCTTGTCCTGTTCCTTTGAGTTGTTCTGTGCTCAGACTGGTGTCGACTTTTACGGTGTCTGGCCATCGTGTTCTAATAATAAATAGTTTAGCTTAAAACAAGGAGGGAAGTGGACAGAATGGGAGGGAGGGAGTTATTCAAATTTATAAGACCCTAGTTTTGCTATACAATAAGGCAAAAGAGCGGTCCATGCCTTTATACCTGCACATGCCTTTTCAGCTTGGCAAGCTGGATGCACTTGGACATAAAACTAAGGGAGAGATTTTGCGTAAAGATGAGGATAGGAAAGGATTTGCCCACCCTGGGAACTCTCCCAAAGCATTTTTTGCTGAACATCTGTTTGACCATTAATGAGCGTAATCTCTAATGAGTCAAGCTTGGACTTTCGTATTTGGCAGTCACAAACTACAGTTTACACTTGAGTTTACGCTTCACCAATGCCCTTGTCATGTGAGAATATGTGTCAGTGGGTGGAGGGGGTTGCCCCCCCTTTCCTTGGCATTAGGTACAGATATGTCCCTTGCAAAATATGTGCCTCTTCGAGGGGGCAGAGTCGTGGGAAGGGGGAGAAGGTGTTGAGAGAGAGAGAGTTCTACTATTGTGGCACTTCACATTAAACCAACTGGAAACTATCTGCCTCCTGTAAACTGAGAATGTAAATTCTGTACATTTGATTAAAGTAGTTCTAAACTGTGATCTTAAAGTTTGATTTTGTGTATTTTCATTTACTCTGTTTTATGTATTTAATTTACATTGTCACCTACTCTAAGCTCTGCAAGGAAGAAAGGCTGCTAATAAGTGCTTCAGGTAAATAGCTATATAGATAGGTTCAGGGTCCAGCTCGAGGGGGTATCCAACGGCAGATCTGACTGCTGGCGGGACTTTTCTGTGCGTGGGACCGGTGTGGGGGGGTGCCACTTGAATTGCCAGTGTTGAGTGTGGTTACAGAATGGGCTGATAACACTTTTCATGTTGGCTTTTTTGCAGCTCATCATCTTCAGGCAGCGATGATGAATTTGAAAAGTGTAAGTTAAAGCCTGTGGAAGTTTTTGTGCTTTCTTGATGTAAGACTTTGAGCTCTTGGAGTGTGCGTTGTGCACTTGTCTTTTGAACCTGCTTTGTTGTCTCTTGGGAGTGTGGAGTGTTTGCTTTTCTAAGATGCAAGGCTCCTGGACCATAAAACAAACAGATCCTTTTTGTTCCCTGCAAGTGTTTCTGCGTGGGTTATTCTTTGCCAGCAAAACTTGATACCAGCGTCTCATGCTGTTGACTTCCACCTTGCATGCAGAAATTAAGCATGAGGGGGACTTTTGCTGGGGTGGATTGAATTGACTCGATTAATACTTTTTCACTAAAGCAATGTGAAAAGCTGACCATAACAGCATATTAATTTATATTAGAAAATTTATACTATCTAGGAAGGTGTACTTTGCATCACTTTTAGACCTGTTTTTTTCCTAGTTAGAGAACAACAAGAGGGGGACCCAAGATACTCACGGGGGGGG